GAAGAGGCAGAAAGAACCCTCAGTTTTGTCACGACTGAGGAAAATCGGCGACAGCCTTTCATGCAAGAAACAATTACCTTTTCAGTAATCGTCAAATGAACTTTGGAGTGATATTCTGTATCAGATGAGATCTAATCGTTTAATAAACGAAAGAACATAAGGTCAGCTGCTGTTCGAATTCTCATAGTCGATTTACTTTTCTTGGATTCAGATGTAATTCCCATTGTCTTGTTGAATGACTTCCATCCACCTCTTTGACGATCTTGCATATCGTTAATAAACGGTCTGATAGTTGTCATTATTACTCGTGGAATTGTACGTAGAGGAAATCAGCAAATTCATTAGTTGTAGAATTGCGATACTGAACACGAATTCACACAATTGTATTCCCTAAAAAGACTACAAGAATTTCTTGTAGGGCAAGGAGACAAAAATAATAAATTAAGAGAATCAAGAGTAAACTATATTAGGAATAATCTGAGATACTAGACAAAAACAAAAAACATAAAAAGTGGAAAACTAAAAAGGATCTAGAGAATAAAAAAGCAATAAAAAACCTTTTCGAGATCGATTTTTTTGTTTGGATCTTGGTTTATTTCGGCCATCAATAACTGTTTGTGATTTATTTTTGTTCCGTTTTCCAATTTGATAGAGTTCTTAATGGAACCTTTATCGATAACGATATCACCATTCATTAGATGAGAATCGATAAATTTGCAATTCGTATTGTAATAGTTTCATTTCCTTTGAAGACGGATGAGGTTTGGTGTTCATCTATGATATGATGCTTTTCATGCGGTTTCCCTTCAAAGGTACCGATTTCTCGGTACAGATTATCGCTTCCTTTTTGTCCTATAGCATAATCCTGGTGTTAGTTACGCATTTCCCGTTAGTACTGCACAAATGTTCTGCATTGCCGAGATCTAAGACCAGGCTTCCATCATACATAAGTCTCTTTGTAGCAGGAAATTTATTGTCGACTGATATCGAGTTCCAAACCATCCATACGAATATTTTACGTTCTTATCAGTGTTCCTTAGGAGAAATTTGTTTAAAGTTAATTATACCTAGTCTTTGACCAGCAAGTGTTCTGCAAAGATGCGAATTTATTGCCGAAACAATGGTTCTAAATTTATAATTATCGATTGTTTCGGATCAGAAACAATCGATAATCATAAATTTAAAAAAGCTTTCATGCGTAATGATCGGATGATATTACTGCATTTTACTGTGGGTATCCATCCGTACATGGGTTCGAGTGTAGACTGCTACTTTCGCTGATATGAAAATGTGCTTCGTATTGTTTCCGCACTCCCACTTTTCTGGTATACTAAAGGGAATAGTAAACAATCATTGCAGGTTTTTATCCTTGATGCTTGCTGTATTAGCATTGTAATCATGGCCAATGAAATTACACCTCTTAAGATTGGATTAGATTTGCCTGTCACTTGATGAATTCGTTCTTTTGTGAGCCTTTTGATTTGTGCGGGGATTAGCTCTTTTAATTGTTCGGGTTCTTTTATTGTTGAAGATTCTGAATTTTCTTCAGTTATTTCTAAACGAGAGAACATATTGATCGGTCTATTAAGTAATTTTCCGCCTGCGATTTCTATTGTAGCATTTCGTACTTCGCCATCTCTTCCTCTTTTAATCTTTTTCATCTTCACTTGTTTTCACGTACCGCGTGGAATTTCAGGTTCATTTAGCAGCATAGCTTCGTTGTTGCGAAGAAACTCACCTTATCAGATTTTTCAGAGAGTACAGTTCATAACAGGTATATTCTCTTAGGCTAACTAGATATTCATTTCTTCAAATATCCCGGTCCGAGATTTTTGGAGTATTTTCCAATACTTGACGAGCTTCTCCTTGGTAGTGGTCTCGTATGGCGTGTATTCTTCTTGATCATCATCATCAAATGATATTTGTCGATGGGCATTTAGCGAAATGAAATCTATTGGTCTAT